TCAGTTAATGCCATACTCTTTATGGAACGATTGCTCCGTCATTAAGGACTATGTCTAAGTGGTTCTGAAGATTCTTTACCGGATATCTTTTCATAGAGAGCAAATCCCGTCAAGGGGATCAAGATCTTACACTGAAGACGTCGCTGTAGCACAAAAAATGATTGCTAATAAAATGGGCTTGAATGTGATGGCTGTTTTGCGAATATTAAATTTTAAAAAAGTCATGACTCGTGACGAATCTTGGTTCTATAAGTACGAACCAGAAACCAAACAACAGACCATAGTATGGAGCCCAACAGGAGCAAGCACCACCGTTAAAATTAAGAAACAAAACTCAGCAGAAAAGGTAGTGATTTGAGGTTACTTCATCTGCTCTAAAATCGTAGCAACTATTCCACTGGGAAAGGGTCTGACGGTAACTGCAAGATGGTATACCAAAGAAAGAGGATTTGCGGCGCTACTTTATGTTCCTCGGTTATAGCGCCTTGAGATTTCTGGTTATTCCCAAAAACTAAAACAAATTTAAGAGGAAAAGTCTGCTATTAAAGACTTTTCCGAGGAGATAATTAATGCGGTTAATGCTGAACTTTATAAATATAAATAAATAAGATTTTAAAGACTATTTTTAGAAGTGAATCTAATACGCGTAAGAAATGCATTGAAATTATTGGCGATTATGTAGAGAAAATAAGAAAGTACAAAGGTTATGAATAAATACAAAAACAATATTTTTGTTTCTTCTGGTCAACTTAGCGAACTTTTGTTAATCCCCTCGTATATTTCGTAACACTGGACATGATATCGTGAGACTCGCCTAAAGTCAACCATTTGAACCTAAACTAACCTTTATTTTTGATCAACAGACATATGAAGAATATCTTACAAGTTTGCTATTGAATAGCTCCTCACATTGCCATTTAATTTTAGATTTGAATATTAATTTTCATACCTTAGAAATATGTTGGAGAGGGTTTATATTGTATAATCTTTCAAATTCAATGATATTCGGTGTTAATATTAATTTGTTCGAGACATATCCAGAAGATAAGTGTACTGGCGCTCTAACGCCCGGAGAGAGCTTATTCAAGGCATGCTGGCAACTCGGTGGTATAGCAAGGAGACCAGTTGGGGAACAGTACGTGGAGAATATGGTGAATATGTAAAAAAATAGTTTACATTATGTACTAAAATGGCACGTAATCTTTTCTTTAAATAAAAATGTGTAAAATCTAAACAAAAATTCAATACACTTAGTTTCTGGATATGCCTCACATATACATGTTAGAAACTTTTTCGACGGATTTTTCATCCAACACTTCCTATCTGAACAAAATCGACTGTCGAATCGAGTTATTCAGGGTGCTCCATCTTTTATGTCGGTATGAAAACTGAATAACTTTCACATTTACCAACCAAGCGATTGCATCAGATATGTTTTGGAAACAACAACAACAACTTTTGCCATGTATCGCTTCACACCGAAACAACGCGCTGAAATAGTGACACTTCACGTCGAAAACAGTCGTTCCATTGTGCTCACTCACGGTCCATGTCGGAAAATATGTCGCGGCAAAAAGGCACCATCTGACAGATCACCTGAATATAGAAGTACATATATGATATCAGATCATTTAAGTGAGCAACTGATTGAGTTTTTACAGCACCTGAAGCAGCATCAAGCAAACTAATTATTACCATCGGATTCTAACCATTTAAAGCCGCTTCTAACAGCTCAACATAACGGTAAGGAATTGAAAAGCAATTGATAAAATAGCACCCTACCCTAAAGGAAGAATTCAGTTGAAATAGACTACACAAAAAAACCAGCAAAAGAGTCATCTATGCTTTAATTCACTACTAAATGAACATTTAACAATACGTGGAGGATCTGTGTCATGAAAAGATTATAATTTTAAACGAAGTTATGTATGACTCCTTATTTAAAAAAACCGAAAGTTCATCAAAAATCGCGCGGCGTAATTAAATAATAATTCAAACAAAATGAAGATTTTGTCTTAAGAAAATTTAATATTTGGTTTAACTTTTTCTTAAAAGTCCTTAACACTGATCTCTAATGATCATTTAGTAAAAATTGATAATAAAAGAAGAAAAAACTTGAATAAACGCTTACAGCATATTTCTCAGAATTAACTATGTAGATATAATATACATACTATAATATGTACATATGTATATATTTGAATAAAAGCTTGAAAGGCAATGACATGAAAGTGAATATTTCCCATAACTGACAAAAAAAAGTGGGCTAACAAATGAATTTATACTGCATAAGCAGAAGACAACTCCCACAACACACCTTCAAACTTGCAAATCCTTGACAGTTAGTTGCACAAGTACCCATGCCACCTCAGCGGCATGCAATAGCGGTAAACTTGGAGGTAAAGTGGCGGTTAACACAAAAAAGGCCTGTTGGCCTTAAATAAAAAGAATACATTATTAAGATTAGTAAGTTTATATCCAATACAACTATAAATACACATACATATGTACATTGTTATGAAGGAGGTGAGAATGCAAAACTTCAGACAGGGAATCAATTTCATGTTTTCAAAGACACGCAACAGTAGCAGCCAAATGAATAACAACAACAAATGAGAAAAAAAACTATAAAAACACACATGCACACACAGCACAATACCGAGTGAGTAGTGCACGTGCATTAAAGTTTTGGCAAGTTTACCCGACAAACAATTGTGAACCAAATAGTCCATTGGAGTGATCTAATAAGTACTTCTCTGTAGTGTGCTACTGGACCAATTTACGTTTCCCTAACAGCTTGTTGTTAAACGAAGTTGCAGGTGGGCAATAAGATTTATACTCGAAATTGAAATCGAATTGGTTTCATTTCGTTGGTGAGCTCTGAACTATATTTATATATGTGAGTCCCTTCTTCGCTGCTCCACGTCGTTCCAAAAAAATCAATATGAATGCCTCGAGGCAAGCCATTTGGAGCTATGGTTAGAAGCCCGCAACTGCACAAAAATAACAAACCGAAGCGAACATACCCACGCACGGTCTATGCTTATATCCAATCTTTCGGTGACCTATTTTCCTTAAATAAAGTATTATTAATATATCGAGCTTTTCTCGGTGCATAATCTTGCCAATAGATACTACTGGACTGAGTAGGCAATTTAAATCCTTTCTCGGTGAACGAAGACCAAACCCTACAAGAAACTTATCGTTCCCGTCCTGTTATACGGCGCAGAGACAAGGACGATGAGATATACGGCGAGATTGACATATTTCAGCGAATCAAGAAACAGCGGCTGCCAGCTTTGAAAATTTTTGATGCAGTACGCGCCGGTGGGCACAGAGGAAGACCTCCCCTCCGCTGGAAATATCAAGTAGAGAATGTCCTGGCTGTATTTAAATAAATATACATGATATAATTGGCGCATTGTAACCGCTGAAGCGATTTTCCGCCGAGCTTCTCCTCCAATATGTGGTTTTGTGTCTTGATGTTTTTCCAACAAATGGAGGGACCTACAGCTTATACTAAGCCGCATCCGAACTGCTGATGTTTTTTTTATGACGAGCTTTTTTCGTGACAGAAATACACTCGGAGAGACTAAGGGGCATCCGCACATAGAAAAATTAAGTTTATATCATTTTGGATGTTAGTCCAAACATGACTTGAACCCTGGCCTTTAAAATGGCAGTACGCAATGTCAACCATTGCTATTGCGGTAGCCGATTTTTTCTATTTTTACTCTGGTCCAGACCCCGAAGAGGACAGTATCTAAGTTAAAAACCACTTATGTATAGAATTTCATGTGAATCGAACCATAAATACGATATTTCCGGTATCTGGTCCAGTTCCAGAAGAAAAAAGTATTAGTCTTGCTAATCTAAGTAAAAGCCACATATGCACAGAATTTCAGGTGCATCGAATCAGGAATGCGATTTTTTTAGAAAAGGTGGGTCTCTGGCCGGGATCCCGGAAATAAGAGTAGTCGTCTGCTGATCTAAGCAAAAGATCCACCTATATATGTATCAAATTTCTAGTAGATTGAACCATAAATGCCTATTGCCTATAAGTCAGTCTTCCCAAAAGCCTCGTACAAACCTTTCCAGGAACTATAGAGCCAAACTAGCAAGTTTTCAGTATAATTTTCTGGGTAGTTTCCGAGATTACAGAAATCAAACATGCAAACATACATACGCTTATATAAATATATATTTTTTTAGTATGTATGTATGTATGTTTTCATCATTAGACCATATTTGTGGTGTCCATTGTGATTAGTTTTGGATTACGCCATTGTCCGCGTGGAGTACATATTCACGCCTACATGGCATACTCGTGTTGTTTACAGGGTAGTGGAGCCTATTAATCCTTATACATATATCGTTATATATGTATGTATATATGTCGGTATTATATGCAGATGACAGCAGAAATTCTTGGCGAAATGATGGTTTTTTAATATAAATAACAAGCAAACAATAAGCTTCCGAACACACTAAGACAATACATAAATATAGCAATTTGTTTATTTGGAGGGGAAAGAAAGCGTTTTGAGGCGACACGAAACACAATTGCACACAAATACGTAACAACAACAGCAATAAAATCAACGACAAAATTCAGTCATTCCAATTTTATAGGCATTCACTACATTTCGTTTTCGCATTTAAGTCACTCCGCTACTTCAACTCCACTCAGTCAGTCGGTTAATAAATATCCTTTCGCTATCAAGACGCTCGCCAGATATGAGTGTAATGCTCAGTAATGGCAGAAGCACATAAATACTTTTGTGCATACCTTTACATAATCAGCGCTTGACTGACTATTTTTAAACATAATAATAATAGTAAAGGAAGGACAAACATATCTACATATATACTAGTATATAAAAGTAAATAAATAAATTGCGAGCTTACGAAAAATTCCAACGAATTAAATTTAAATAAATTCAGCGACATCAAAAGCGAGTGGCATTTGGCAGTAAATAACGTATGAATGTCGTCTATAGATGATTTGAATCAGTCCTTTTGTGGCAGTCAAAGTGAAATGAACATTTGGAAGGGTAAACTGTTGACGGACGTGCCATTCGGTCATGTGCTCATAGTGAGCGGGAAAGTAAAACCGAATCCGAATAAGTAAATGTTAAAACCCGAATGACTTTATAATATTATGGTCTGATGGAATTTGTGGGTTTTTTTTTTAGAATTTGTTTGGACCTCACCGATAATATCAAAGGTCAGAATGAGAGTGAAACAGTTTATTTGAAGATAGAGGCAAATTTTCGGGAGAATCAAATAATAAGGAGCATGTTTATGCCCGGGGAGGGTTGGCAGCAGGAGGAAATTTCGAAAAATTGGAAATCGGATGGACCGAAAAATCCACTAGTGCCGGGTAAGTGCTGTAAAATCAGTTCGATAGTACAAAACGATAATCAAATCATAAAACAACAAAACTCAAAAAATTTTCATGAGAAACAAAAACCGGTTAATGCTGTTCAAGTAACGCGAGTAAAATGGAAACAGACATAACGGTATTATATTATATTATTTTATTAAAAAATAAGAGTGCTCAATAATCTATGTGTGTTGACTATTTTGTTGGGTAGTGTTTCAGCGCATGCCGACAATGGACATCAACAAAGAGAAAATATGCTACAGTCTACAATTTATCTTCATTAAGGGGGGAAGCTGGTCTAGAGCGCAAAAAAATGGGCATATTTTATGAATTTATTTTGACTCAACAAAGGAATCAATCCAAAATCTGTGAAATAGGTTTAATATTATTAGCTTTCTTGGTACAAATTTCAAATTTTTCGTGTGAATTAATTTTAAAATGGCCGCTGTCCAGCATTTCTTCGAAGATGCCGAAGACATAACTCCTTAATTTTTGTTCTGGATCAAAAAAATTATTTTTTTTTCTATATAACAACAGCAAGAGACATACTTAGGATTTTTTCGATATTTTGTTTTTTCGCGAAATGGTGCACGTTTGAACAAAAAGTTACAATTTTCACTATAAAAAACGATATAAAATTGTTGATTAAAAAAAAAAATTATACATACGTCTCCTGTGGACGGTATTTTCTGTGGACGGTATTTTATGTGGACGGTATTTCGAATTTACTGTCAAAATTTCGTAAGAATTGGTGAAGATTTGTTCGAGTTATGTCTTCGGCCAGTTTAAAAAAAGTAATTTCGAGAAAAACGCGTTTAAAGCTGTAGGTCATTTGGGGCATAACTGCGAGGCACTGCCGTCGAATGAAAAATTTGGGCATTTAGACATTATTGCCGGCATCCATATTTTGGTATGTTATTTCTTAGACCCTAAGGCACTTTTTAAGACAAAAATTTTTTTTTTCGAGTTTTTCAAAATTCTAGACCAGCCTACTGCCATTCGGTGGGCTCGGTTTCAAATCCCCGTGCGACCAAAAAACATCAAGATGCAAAACCACAAATTGGAGGAGGAGCTCGGCGGAAAATCGCTTCAGGGATTACAAAGCTCTTTATATATTTATATTTATTTTTATTTTGTTTGGTGGGATTGGTAAGCAATCATCCACTATGAGCGACTCCCCTACCTGTACTGTTAGCAATTGGACCGTTTGAAGGAAGTAATCGCCCAGAAGCGTCAAACTTTCGCCAACAGAAGGGGAATTGTGTTTCATCAGAACAATGCTACTTCCATTGCAACTGTCCAGATTCTAAGAGAGCTTGATTTGAAGTTTTTATGCATCCATCGTATAGTCCTTCTTTTCGCTGTTTGCCCCCAATTAGAAATACCAGGTACAGCCGGGTCCAACTGCTCCTGGACTTTATTATCCTCCCGGACCACATGACCTACTCAGTGTAGCTTTCCAACTACTCCGGAATTTGGCATTGCCAATGCGCAGAGTACAATAAATCTTACCTTTCAAAACCTTTCACTTGAAAACTCTCAACGCCGACTCATCGGATGTTGACATCATTCATGCATGGTACGTTGGCAGTGGGATGGAAATGATGAGTGACTGGCGCAGATTGGTCTTTTTTTGTCACCCAGTCCAAAGTGGCACCTGTTGGCAAGAGAGATTCTGCGTTGGATATCCAGGTTGGCCTTATTATTGGTTTTAATGCTGGGGAAACAAAAATATTTACCACTTCAATGTCATGACTTTCAACAGTGACGTGGGAGCCGAGTCTGGAAAGCGATGGCAGAAGATATTTCGTATTGTCCTCGTTCACCACCAGACTCATACATTTCGTTTCCTTAACCTATCTGGAGGAGGAAGAACTCTCGGCGTGATTGTTGAGGCTAATAATGTCAATATCATCGCCGTACGCCAGTGGTTGTTCACTCTTATAGAAGATTGGAATCACCTTGTATGAAGCCTCGTTTTGTATCGAACTGCTCGGAGGCTCTTTCTCTATTCTGATGTAGCTTTTGGTGTTGTTTAACTTCAGTTTACACAGCCCTATAAGTTTTGCAATTGTACAGAGTTCATGCATATTTGCGGCTGCTTCTTTCCGTGCTGTCGAAGGATGCTTTAAAATCGACGACGAGGTGGTGTGTGTCCGTCCTTTTTTCCAATATTTTGCACATGGTCTACCAGTTACACAAATTCACTAAATTTAAAAAACGTTTATGATTTGGGTTTTCGCAACCCCCAATTGAATCAGTTGATTGTGAAAGGGAGAAGAAAATATCGTTGCCTTGCTTGCTTCGTGCGCTTCCAAGGTGAAAACGAAAACAAAGTTTAATGTGAACTATGCATGAAGGGTATGATTTTGATAAATTTCTGATGATATAATGTAATATAATTAACAGAGACTTTAAACCCAATTTCTCAAAAATTATCCTTACACTCTTCATTTCCAGGCCAATCATTCAACTTTCGCATAGCTGTGCTACAAAAAAGCTTTGAAATCTACATAAACGACAACCTCTATGGTGCTTTCGAATTTGTGAAATTCCCAAAACCGATCAATTTCATGTTGGTCTATGGTGATTTTGAAAAAATTACACAATTTCATCAAAGAATGCTATTTCCGTTGGTCTTTCCGAGAAGTCTAATTTGTGCAGAGAAAATCGCCTTTCAAAGTGATGTACCAAAGAAATATGAAGTTGGTAAATAAAATAAAAAAAAAATTCAATTAATTCCAATGAAAATCTGTATGCCTTCAGGCTAGTATATTTTATTAAAAAAATTTATGTTTTATGTCAACAGGCACTGTTGTTGCTATGGAGTGCATCGCCAAGGGACCAGCGAACACTGCATTTTCCATTTGCTTTCAGTGCAATGACACGGGCCGTGTTGTGCTGAAGTTTCATGTCAATTTTGAAAACACGACAGTGTCGCGTACTTACGAACGTCCTGATAATAGGTAAGGATCAGCTGTTTACTTACGGAAAAATATGAATTTGGATATACTTATTGCTATATATTTTTATTGTTATTCTAACGAATCGTATTTTTATTCCAGATTTTCCTCTGACGATGAGGAAACTGATGGCGAGTTTCCCTTTCAGCGCGGCAAGCTATTCAAAATTGCTTTTGGCATTGGCGATAAGGCATTTATTATTGCTGTGAATGGCCAATATTTTACTTATTATAATTATCCCATTCGTTCATTCGCCATATCCACCTTGAAATGTTTCACAAATCATGTTGGTGATTTTGCAGTGAAAAATCTTGAGTATCATTGCGATTCACCGCTATTGGCGCGTGTTGAGAAATTATCGTTGATTTAATGAAAAATTATGAAAATATAGAAATAAAACTGTTATGTCGCATAGTAATTGAAATAAAAAGCTTGAAGAGGCACGCTAAATAAAGCAGGAAAATTAAATGAAAATTATAAATTCCACATCACCAAATTACAGGAATCACAAAAATACATATTAATCCCAAATCTAGAATATAGAAATAAAAAAATTAAATTTTATACTAACAAGAGATGCTCAACAAATGCATCGATATTATTCCATTTCGCTAACAAGAAAAATTAGCTCAACGAAATGAAATCGTTTCGTTCCGGAGCCATGTTATCAAAACGAAGTAAAATCGTTAACGTTGAAAAAGCACAAGCACATTGTTAACGTTAATTCTAAAATGGTTGCCATGATTTAACAGCATACTTCGATTTTAACGATTAAGATTATCTCTTAACGATCTAACATTAACGACAGCTAATTTCTCCATGCAGATTTAATATGAAACGCTAAATCTCTTGAACAACCGCCGAAGGGACGCACGTGAGATAAAGACAGATATAGGCAGGGAACGTTTTGGATATTCCCCCGAGATCTCTAAGTCTTATAGCGTATTTATATATATGTGACCTATCAAAAGTTCTAATAGATCTACATTATATTTGGCTGTGCCTTTGACAGCTTTTAAGCCGCTCATTTGGTCAGACAAACATTCAAAGTTAGACAATGAAAGAAATTCCAGCCCAGCTATTTCCCCTGGGGCCAGGGCTGTCGATGTTTAACGCTGGAAATTCATGAGTCATTTTTGACTAGATTTGATTGATTATTGCTTTAAATTTAAGATATTTTAGCAATCTCTATTCAGTGATTTTCCAATTTTTTGTGGGAGCAAATATTCAAGTATGCTCTCTCAATTATCCAAATCGGACTACGAGGTAACAGGTTATGCGAGATTGTGCGTTCGAATCCTCCCTTTCCTACGCCTCTGCTAACATTTTCAAAATATTTTCTGTCCAATATGAAAAGTTTTATTGAAATCGAACTACGTGGTATCGGGATATGCGGGGTCAGACGTTGCAAGATAATCTCTTTCCTACGGCTTGGTTAACATTTTTCCCCCACTATTTCCGTTTATACCCTTTCCTATAAAAAATAATCGGACCAAAATCAAAAATTTAGGTGTTGTCATACATAAAAAAGTATACGCCTCTGAGTTGATATAGAGGGCTATTTTAACTGATTCGAAGATCTTCGGCTTTATGCTTCACGATTGGAGTCTGAGTGTGTTCTGCCCAGCCCATAGACAGGGAGATCCTACAATCTAAGCCAATTGGCGTGGAGTAAGCCTACTCAATATCGCGTATGAGGTTCTATCTAACGTAATGTTTGCAAAGACCACAGCCCGCCGTCAATGAACTAATCTTAGCAATAAACTAGCGCCATAATCGAGAAGGATCTCTCCGAACCGTTCGATACGGAAGAAGGTTTTAGATGATGGCCCAAAGGATTTTAAACAGGTAAAACATTCGTGGGCCCTTGCTTACTAGTAATGTCTGCCGAATTTCTGGTCCGATACAGTATGCAATTCCAAAGAGAGATATTTATGCAAAAAATGTCTTTTGGAGTTCAGCTTTGGTAATACCGATATTGAATGTGCTGTAAGAGAACCATAACCTCCTACATTTTCCATCTATTTTTGGAACAACCTTAATAAGTCTTTCATTGCTCGCTCAAGCCGATCACATGATCGTCTTCTGTTACACAATATGTTGCAGTAGAGCTAATTTGGATGGGAAGTGCCATTTCGTTGCACGGTACGATCCTCTTACTGCTTTCGTTTGGGACAAGAGAGGATCACACAGGTATTGAGAACAAATTGTGGATATTTTTTATATGGTTGGGTAATCTAAAGCTTATTTTTTAAACTACGGCTTATTTGAGTATTGACGCATGGCATTCCCGATATGTCAAATATTCGCTTTAAGGTCTACGATTTTAGAAATGTTAAGTAATGTCTAGGCTTGAAGAAATTTGGGAAATAATAAAAACTTACTTCCAGTTTTTAGATCAATTTGGGAAGCGAGTTCGAAGAACCAGTTCATTATCGGTCAAAACAACTTCTGTAGGTACTCGTCCAAAGCTTTCAGAGTAAAATATTGCTGCTGGCTGCTGCAGCTCAAAGTATGCTCCAATAGTCATTAACATCAACTCGGCACCTTTCGCAGGACTTGAAACATTTCCTGAACTTCTTTTCGGAGGATTTCGCATAAAGAGCTTGGTGTGAAGGCTCATAATGTCCCATTAGTCCAAGAACTGAAGCGTCATGACCATCCGCAGTATAAGCATCCACGGCACACTCAGAAATTGTTTGTTTCAAAGTGTTGAAGAGAACGACATGGCTGATGTGTTGTTTCAACAGGACGCATTTACGTGCCAGGCAACGTTACAATCGATATTTGGCGCACGATGTTTGAAAAACTCATAATTAGCCGAAACTTTAATGTGAACTGACCGCCTCTCAGCTGCGATTTGAGCCCGTTTTCTTTTTTGCGAAGAGCCGTAAAGGATAAGTACCAGGCCCGCAAACCATAGACGATTTATGGCGTCCAACACGACATTGAAGTCGCCATTGCAGTCATATAGGGCCAGGCAATAAAAGTGCGTTTAAAATGTTGGTCTACAGAATGGGTGACTGCAGGGAATATTCCTATCTATTATTCCACTGTTCTTCTCAGAATACATTTAAGCTTTAAAATATCAACTCCACTCTTATGAATGACCATTGTCAGGTGAGTCACTTAAGACTAAGAGCCTTTACGAATTTTGGCGGTATATGGGTTTGGACATCACAGGAACTACTATTCGATGCCAGTGGAACATAGTAAGCACAATGTCATTAAAATGGCCGTCAACTTCCAACCTTTTGAAATGAATTGAAAAACTTTTTGGCACTTTTTAGACACTATTGACACAAATGAATGTTTTCTAGTGCTCAACAACTAAAGTTTGCCTCCATAAAAAGTCTAACGGTGTGAAATTGCACCAGCTCGCTGACCAAGACAGGACAATACAAGGGCGGGAAATATCCCTCACGATAAAGAAAATTTCCACAATCTTGTTTAAACCACATCGCCCAAGACGTGTTACTCAATTGCAGACTAAAAAAAAAGTCCGTTCTCGTATGGCCATAACGCTCCGAATTGACAGTGAGAGTCTCGCCGTTGTCGTATTCAAAGGAGTAAGGTTCAATCACCCTAGGTCCGGGGGAGAGCGCACCAGGCAGTAAGTTTTTTCTGGATGCAATGGTCTCTTTTCTATTATTTAAGGGATTCACGGAACCCCAAATGACAAAATTTTGTTACTTACATATACTCCAAGTCCACTATTTGTTGTTCAATCACCCAATCGACGTAGGTACGGCTTTGTGAATGGGCAGCTTGCTTCAGTGGTTATGTGTTAGATAGCCCCAGTTCGTGAGAACGTCGAGAAATAGACACATTCGGGTGTTCGGCTATACTTTCACTTACAGTAGCGCATTTCAAGGTGCTACAATACGAGGTGTGTTCAAAAAGTATCGCGAATTATGAATTTTCGCGGGTTAGGTAGGATTTTTTTGTGGCGTTATATTGATACTCATGACTGTCACTTATGCCGACAAGCTCAGCCATTTTGAATGCTCACTTAATTGTTGACAGCTGCTTTGCTTGCTCGTGTTTTGGTTGGTCTTCGATTTTTACCTATTCAAAAAAATGGATCAAAGAACCTGTATCAAATTTTTTGTGAAAAACGAAATTAAGTGCGCGGATGCATTCCGAATGTTGACTGTGGCATACGGAGAAGCTCCCTTGGACCGAAGCAACGTTTATCGGTGGTACAAAATGTTCTCAGAAGGCCGAGAAGATGTGAACGACGAAGAGCGTGCCGGACGCCCGAGCACTTCAACAATAGATGAAAACCACCACGATAACGCCACTGCTTACTCATCGTTGCTTGTGCGCAACTTTTTGGCCAAAAACAACACACAAATGATGCCGCAGCCACCGTATTCCCAAGATCTGGCCCCATTTGACTTTTTCTTGTTCGCTGAACTGAAAAGGCCCATGAAAGGACGGCTTTACGCTACGATTGACGAGATAAAGACGGCATCGAAGGAGGAGTTGAACAAGATGAAAAAAATGATTTTTGAAGTGCTTCGAAGATTGGAAAAACCGTTGGCACAAGTGTATAATATCTCATAAGGATTACTTTGAAGGGGACAAAATAGATATTCATGAATAAATAAATAATTTAAAAAAAAAACACAAAATTCGCGAAATTTTTTGAACGCACTTCGTATCTGTATTCAGTCTCTTAAAATTCCTTTAGCATTTTATCAATTGCTTGAGTTTTTGGACGATTAGGGACATGATGATTTGAGGGATTAAGAAACGAACCGTGACCACGTCTTAATCACTATTTTTGTAGTAAATATATTTCAACAATTTTAACGCGTTGTGCGGTTGTTAAGCGATCCATTTGACCATCCATGACCGACTTTTAAATAGAAGAAACATATTTGGTTTGACAGTTATGTTTGACAGATGTCAAAATACAATCCTGCACTTTTAAAATGAGGAAATGGATTACCCCATGCAGTAGAAAAATTACCGATCCCGACGTAAAAGCCACTTTTTTAAAGCTTTATTCCCTTGAATATTATCTTTGAAGATATAAAAGATCAGAAATGACAATATCAATTTTAATTTATTTTATATTTTTTTGTCACGTTTTCTTTTGGCATAATAACTTAAATAATTCTACCACCATAAATAATTATTTATTATTAATATTTATGTATGTATTTACCGTTTTCCATATATGTATGTATGATGATATTTTAACAAAAGTGTTAGTTATGTGGCCAATTTACCAGCCTTACATTCACATATTTTGTATGTATGTATTTATTTTTATTTTTGGTGTAATTACTAGATATTGATGACGTCTAATGTCACCTTGTAATTTTTGTTAAAACATTGCTATTGTTTGATTTTCAAATATTTGTTAATTTATATTTAAGTGTTTTTTTTATGTATGAAAACTATTTTAAATTTGTATTTATATTTTCAATGTGTATTTATGTATGTTGATGTTCCTTTCGAATATGCCACAATACGACAAATATTTATTTGTTTGCATAATAATTTTAGGATTAGATTATTTAGGATTTTATGTAGGTTTGTATGTATGTATGTATATGTGAATATTTTTCTTCATCATCTATAGCATGCATAACGTTTTTATTTTATTTATGTATAAAGATATTTTTGTATAATTTCCATTTGGTTCATCGATAAAAACATTAATAATCTATGAATGTATGCAAGTAAGTACATATGTATGTATGTATATTATTTATTTATACCTTGTTTTTTTTTTTGTATACTCGTTAATGCAAGTATGAAAATATGTTGTTTATTTCTTTATTATAATTTCTTTTTTTATATATTATTTTTTTGACTATTTTAAATATATTTTTGTTGTTTTTTTAAATCATTTTTTTTCACTTAAATTTTTTTATTTTGTAATCAAGTTTGTTTTTTTATCAATTTTATTTATTTTTAATTTTTTTTGTTTCCTTCTTTTTTTTTGCTTATTTCGTATAAGTTTTATGCTACGTTTGTGTATTAGCTCAAATAATTTGAATAAAGAGTTGTTTTTGTGGTTATAGTACGTGGTATTTTACTTTATTCAAATATTTTGCTCCATCCTTTGTTTGATCGCATATCACATCAACTTTTCTATTTTGCATAAATATTCGTTTTTGTTTTTTGTTTTGTTCTCACCGAGTTTTGGACTGAAAATAAACTCGGCAATTTTTAATTCAAACAGGGACGGTAAAATTTACTTACAATAAAATCATGCTCACTGCTTTCAATTTCGAATTGGCGAAAATGTACATTTGCACTCGCAGTAACGTATTTCGTAGTGGAATGACAAAGTTTATAGTTTCAGAGGGTTTTCTAAAATTGTTCACATTTAAAAGTGATTTTTTGTTTAATAATAGTTTTTTTTTTCATTTAAATTAGATATTTTAGAGAAATATTTTCATTTTCAAATGAAAAATAGTTTAAAAAGATTTTTTGTTTTCACTTTTTAGTGCTCAACGCCAACAAATTACTTAATAATAGAGAAATATCTTAAATTAACACAAACATTTTAAATAGTACTTATTTTCATATGTGTGTATATGTGTAAGTGGAGAGAATATAAGTAGTTCATAACGTTTATACTTATCGGAGTATTTTATTAGTTAGTATAAGAGTTTTACTTCAACGAAATTCCATTGAATGGCTCGGTATGAGTACAAAATGCGTTCAGGTGATTTCAATGTTTATGAAAAAGTATAAATATTTTTTTAATAATAAATAAATAATTTTTCTGTATCTAAAAATCAAAATAAAAATATTATTAACTGATACGTTTTTTTTTAACTAATAATAAAACATTTAAAAAATTAAGGTTATTTGAAAAACAATTTTTTTCTAATAACTTTTCAGCATTTTCATAAAAGCATATTGACATTGTTTATAAATGTTTAAAAAAAATTTATATGAATTAAAAAAACTTTCATTACAGATTTTCTGTTTTCTTTTGTTTTAAACAATAACGGTCGCCGGGTAGGTTAACAACAAAAACTGTTATAAAAGTTCATTAGCTGCTACTGTATTTATTACAAATGAACATTTTTGTTGCATACTTTTAGGCGTATTATTATTTCTTTTGTGTTCCGTTGTATGAAAGCAGAGAACTTATAATAAAGATTATTGAAAGTTAAAACGCATTTTTCATTTACCAAAATATACTTTTCGGTTGCAAAATATACTTTTTCTGTAACAACAGCTAACATAACCTAAAATTCGTGTTTTATAGAAAGTATTGTTGTGAGAAGCGTAAATTCTTCAGCCACACCGAAAATAATGTCAAAAAAAAATACATTTTTAAACGTATTATATTTTTTTAGAACGCCAAATAAACTTGTATTACAAAATTGGGAGACTCTCCAAAAAGCTCAAGTATTCTTCTAAGCTTAAAATATATTTCTTTACGCCAACTATCCAAAAAGCTAAAGCCTCCTAAGCTTTTATTTTTGAGATTTCTTGTCTACTATGTTTTTATATATAATATCATTCCTTAGTTAGGAAACTCTCCAAATAGCTCAAGTCCACTTATTGCGAAAAGGGCAACTCTCCAAAAAGCTCTAGTACTTTTCTTAGCATGATTGGCAAACTCTCTCAAGAATCTTGCTTAATTCCATGATTAGGAAACTCTCCAAACAGCTTAAGTCTTCTTCTGAAATTATTAGGCAATATGATTTGTTTTTCATTAATTTTCTTTGCATAATTGAAAACTGTCCAAAAAGGATAAATTCTTCTTCTTACTTTTTAACTATTGAGCTTCTCTTCTATTGTATTTTCAATCCATTTATTTCAAAATTGGAAAACTACAAAGTTCTCCTTGGAAGTTGAATTCCTTTTTAATTATACATTTAGCATAATTGGAAAACACTACAAAGAGCTCAAGTCCTTTTTTGAAGTTAAAAACGAATTAGTCTAATTTTCTTGTTTTTTATTTCCTTGATTGAGCTTAATTTTTTTTCTGAAAAAAAAAAAAAATTGAAGTACTTTTCACAACACTTTCTATCAATCACTTTAAAAAAAAAATATAAATAAAAATAATTCATTATAAAAATGAAATTTTTGCTTTCTTGGACGCCATAAACGATATACTGCTTTTAAGCATTTGTGTAGTAGTGTTTTTTTGGTTTTGTTTTTTATTTTTTTCTTTTTATTTGGTTTTCTAGTTTTCATGTTTATTAACTAAGGTGATTATTTTTATATTACAATATATTGCCTACAACAAATTCTCACTGTATTATTAAATAATATCTTTAGCATAGCTATATTTATAAATTACTTATGTAAATAATATAATTTTTTTTTTTAATTTTAATTTTATTTTTAACTAGGAATACAGCTGCACTTGCGTCAAGTCAAACGCAGTAGGCGTGTATGTAGTTATGTGTGGGTCGGCAAAGGACGATGTGCAATGCTACTACAGCTTACCAAGCGTTGAGGCTCATAATTGTGATGCTTGTATATATCTATATGCGTGCGTGTGTGTGAGTGAGTGTTCGTTTTTCAGCTAACTATGTACTACATAAGTTTGGATAACATTGCAAATTTTATTAAGCACCTTCTAACGGTGTTTAAACAGATTTAATTAAGCACGCACTGAATTCGATATGTAAGCTATCAAATGAATGTCAAGCAAAGGCGTTTAGAATGAAAGCAAATTGCTATAAAACTCTGAGAAAAGTTCGCTCGATATTCATTTAACAATTTCCATGCTCAACAAGAGCGTGCCGAATGGTTTTCCATGTAATATTTTAGATTATTTATCATACAAAAATTACGCTTACCGAATCAATATTTATTAATATTAAGTATCATTTTAATATATTTTTTAATAGCAAATTACTTTTTGCTGCCTTTGAAATTGTAATTTTGAAAATTTTAACTTTTGAAACAAACATTTTAATTATATTTTTCTTTTTTCTCTGTTTACTAGCGCACAGCTTACGTCGTGTTTAAAGCAAAATAAATACATATAATATTACGCTTTTGTTTTTGTTTTTAATATAAAGTGCACTTCAAATTCCTTTCAATTTTAAATAAGTAGTGTGTTTATGCTATTAGCTGCTTTTGGAGTGATAACGGAACTTATAAATATTTTTAAATATAAAATATTTTTTGTTTTTTGTTTTTAGAAAAATCACTTAACAATATATATATATAAATGTATGTATAAGCAAGTGTAAGTAACAAACCATTTTGAAAAATACTATTAGTGTTTCTGTTCTTTTGTTGTTTTTTTTTTATACTTTTGGGCATACAATTTAACAATAGCAAAAGTGTTTGACAATATATGCTATGTGTAGGTGTATGTATACATAGAGAATACCAATTTGCACACAATCTTATCAGAACAATGACAAAACATAATTACAAACAGTTATCTCACATATCCGGAGACAAGTTTTTGAGAAACATTTTTCAAGATCACCTTAAATGTGTATTAGTAAAGGTCGTTATTTTTAAATCATAAAAAAAAAATAATAATAATAAGAATAGACTAGAAAATTCGTTCATCCGTTTGACATATTGGAAAGCTTTCAGATGACGGCGTGAGCTTTTAAATTATACAAGCTTCTTTGAAGCATTCTGTTGATGGCAGTTTTATGGAAAAACTTTCGAAAGCGTTAAAAAGTATGAAAGTGTCTTAATAGAACTAAAAGCTCTGCCGCAATTATAAAAAGCTCCTTGCGAAGCTTTCGCTGTTTACGCCTCAAAATGGAAGCCTTCCATTATTCAATTATTTTTTTTAAGCATTCTTTTAACAGCAACTTTTTGGGAAAAAAACTTTCGAAGGCGTTTAAAATTATCAAAGTTTCTTAATAGAGCTTAGCGCTCTGTCCAAAAACTTTTTAAGCAGCTTCCTTTTTTTATGCCATTTTTTAGAAAACGTTTCTACGCCCCAAAATGGAAGCCTTCCTTTGTTCATATGTCATTCTGCACTAACTTGAGCTTTTTGGAGAGTGTTAGGAAGCTTAATTTTTAAGGCATAAAAACTGTATAGCATTATAAATTCAAAAATTAAATAATTTCATTCGGCGTTTTCTTGTTATGTTTTGTTTAAATATCAAAAACTATTTTGTTGGTTAAACAGATTTGGATTGTGTGCAAAAAAAAGAACATAAATATTAATACTCAAGATAATAAAGATGTAGAGCATACAGAATAAGCCCTACAATCATCGTAATAGATAATAACAGAAAATTAAACAGACTGTTGTCACTTTAAGGCATATTACAGTGTCTTTATAATACGGGCGGAAGATTTTTTTGTTGTCAAATTGAGTCGTTTTGAAGTGCAATAAATCGCAAAAAACAAAATTACTATTATTACAACTTCGTCTTTTAAACATCGCATTAATTGTTCTTAAATGCCACCTTTTAATTATTGCATTTTTCTGGAAAATTAATTAGTAAACTCCCCATACCTTTAAAGTCACCTGTTTATGACACATAACAGGACAGTTTACACAAAAGTAATCTATAACTTAAGCAGTGTATAAACTAAGGCTAAAATTTTTCGCTGTACGCTTATTTTATGTTAGAATTGACTCTGATTGCTGCCAGTCGGGTTACGTGTCGATGGTCGTGATGAAAACGATTTGCCACTGCTGCCACGTTGTGGTGGTAAAGGACGACGCGCAAAACGTGTTTCGCTGTGGAAAATGAGAGAAAAATATTTTTTTTTGTTTACTAGTTAAAGCTTTAAAAAATTAAAAATATTTGTACATATATATATAGGTGCAATAAGGTAAGTGCGTAGTTTATTATTATTAGAGGACATGGGCGCTTAAATATAAACTTTATTGTGATATATAATTTTTCCCATGCGTGTATTTTTGTAATAAAGAGAAATTTATTTAAACTAAAAAATAGCAATTTCGAAATGGAATTTGAATATTTTAAAATTTCGGACAATTTGGTTTTTTTTTTTAGATTTTTCTTTATCCAAAAAATTTGTTAAAAAATTTTTCGACATAAAAAAAATTAATACTAATATTTTAGATTTTAGATGTGGCCAATAACCGAGTATATTTGTTGTTGTTTATTGCTTTTTTATTGTGTGACACATTTGAAGCATTTATTTAGCATTTACAAAGTATGCGGCATACGTATATGTACATATGTATGTATGTAACCAACTTTTTATCATATATCCATACACACGCTAGCAACCTACCAGCTTTTTCATAGACAAATAATTATTTTGCAGCTTACCAATTCGGAAACGCGGCTTAAATGTTATAGTTGTTGGCAAATTTAAACGAAAGACGAGCACAACTTAAACGTACACAGGCGAGAAATTAATGTTTAATTTGGTAGGCGGGGCAGAGGATAACAACGGGATATACATACGTACGGTAAAACAAAATATGCGTTTAGCAAATATATATATATCGTAAGTAGAAGATATTTGTGTATACAGCAAGCACTAAGCACTAATTTTGAACGCGAGCGCAGGTTTGAACATAAGATAACGAACTTCACGACAAAATTGAAAAAAATATTGGCTTCTGGGAAGAACTGCGAATTCATTTTAACTTTTTTTGTTTTTTTTTATCTAGGCTTTTATATATTATTGGTATGTAGGTAGCTTAACGCCGCATAGGCACCCACCGATCAATTTCCATTTCCTCCATGCGTTGCGTCAATTCAATTTTTTGCTGTACAGCTAAACGCAACAGCTGATTAAGTGTCTTCTTTTCCTCTTCAGCAGCTTCTAGCTTGCGATTCAAATCATCCACCTGTGTAACATACTCCTCGCAACGTGCAGCGAACATAGCGCGCAAGCCTAGAGTGGAAATAAAAAAAATGAGGAAAATATTACAAATCAGGAAAAATCCAGTTAAAAGTAATATTTTTATATATAATTTTTGCAACAAATACGCACTTGAGAATGTCGCAGCATCTTCCTTGAGTATCTTCAACTCATTACGTAACTTGGCCATTGTCTCGCTAACCACGGTCTTCTCATTTTCATATTTCGATTTGAGATTGGTGAGCGCCACCTCAGCGGTCTGCTTGTTGGACTTCAATACAGTACGTAACGTAGCGATTTGATCGCGTTTGAGCGATAACAAGCCTTTAAGGCGTACAATTTGTTCTTGTAACTCCTCGACTTCCTCACGATTATACTTGTCAGCTAAATGATGATAAAAGCAATTTTTACAATAATAATAATTTTTGCATTAAGAAGTTGGTGCAATGAATTTACCTTCAGACACGTCGCCGCGTACTTTATTCTTGTTATGCTCGATTGTATGCTCTACAGCGGTTTTCAAGTGTTTAATCTGATCTCCCACAGTGTCGACATACTTTTTAATTTCCACAGAATCGGCAAGTCCTTGCAAATCCTCAATGGTATGTGAGCGGGAAGTAAAAATGTCAGATTTAAACTGCGATTGTATGGCAGTAAGCGAATCGTTTTCGAAGCTGTAACAAAAAATATATCACATTTTAGTACTATTGTTTTCTTTTTTTGTGGTTTTTTGGTAGTACATACCTCATATCATCGCTCTTTGTATCGAGCATAATACGCGTCGGTATTTCGCCATTGACGGTGCAAACTAAATGATACAGCTGTGCCAAGTCATCGCTCAAGGCCACCAAAGTGGAGCGTGCCGAACCCAAACTTTGACCGGCACTTTGTGATATACTTGTGAGTGTCTGCACATCACTTTGCAGATCCAATGACTTTTGCTCAGTGCTGAGCAATTTATTTTTCAAATTTGTGACCTCATTACGTAGTGTTGTCATTGCATCGGTATAGTTGAAACCCTTTTGCAGTTCAACCAAATCAGTCTTGAGACCGTCAATCTCTTTGGAAGATAATGTGAACCAACTGTTATACTGTGATAGTATATCCAAGAGTTGCTGTCGTACATTTTGTTCATCATTACGTCGTTTTACCGCCTCCATGGAGTCATCTTTAATATCCAGCTGTTTCTTTAATTGTAGCAATGCATCTACATGTGCAGTTAGCAACGCTAGACGTGCCATGAAATTTTGTATTTCATTTTGTGATTTATCCAAACTGGTTTGTGCTTCACGTAAATTCGCGGTGAGTAACATCTTTTCATTTTCAATTGATTCTAATTGTTTTTCCAACTTTTTCAACTCATTCAAATGTACCTCAGAGAAGAGATCGCATTTGGTGCCATCTGTTGCATTCAATTCTGTGGTTAAATCGGCTTCAAGTCGTTTCAAAGCCAAGTTTTCCTCTTCGCCATCACTATTTGCGCTTATGTTGTCATCCATATTACTACGTAGATAAGCTAAATTGCTTAACTTGTACATGGACTCGCGATTTAAATGGCCATCCAATTCTTTTTTGAGTGCATATTTAGCCTCGCGCTCACACTATAAGCAAATATAAATTATTTAGTTAAATCTTTTGAGAAATTATTTATAAATTCACCTGTAAAGCCTCCAGAGCTTCTTCCATTTGCTTTTCAGCGATTTTCTTCAGATTTGCCAATTCATCTACTTGTGAATTTAAGAGCTCTACCTCTTCGGTAAGGCGACGTATCTCATGCTTGGCGCCTTCAAATTCAACCTAACATAAACAAATTGGTTAATTTGATGCAATTTAATTGTAATAATAAAATTTTTTCTTTTACCTGCGAACTTCTTAAGCTCGACACCTGCTTTTGCAGCGATATGTTTTCTTCCTCTAATTCTGTGTATTCCGTTAGCATGCGTGTCTCACGAAACTTCAAATCCTTTAACTCGGCCTTAAGACGTAATTTCTCAGCTTCATTGTCTGATTTGTCGCGTCCAATGTCGGTATTTTCTTGCAGCATACGATCACGTTCATTGCGTACTCGTTCCAATTCGTGACGTAATTGCTTTGTCTCATTTTCCAAATCTAAAATTTTACTATTCAAAGTTGTCTCGAGCTCTGCGGTTTCCGTGAGCAGGGATTCTTCCTGTTCGATACCCGTTTTCGTGGTGACTTTTTGTGAAGTGTGAAACTTTGCGAGAGCCTAAAATGGGAAAAGTGTGGTACTGAGTTTATTTTTTTTCGAAATATGTGTACATAAGTTTTTGATAAGTCTCCATAGCAAATTTATTTACAGCAGTGCTAAAGTTCTGTGAGATCTGGGAAAAAAGGGCAGACAGAGAATACAGCGCTGCGTCAAATGAAATCGAGGTATAAAGAGGTGACGATTAAGCTGGATATGCAAAATACTTGTACTGATTGAAATTGAGTCGTTGGATAGCAAAACAGATTTCAAACACGACTTTACAACGTCTGGATGATTAAAACAACGCATAATCACAGCTCGTAAGTTATATCAGAGAGTTTGGGAATTTGAATAAGGACAGCGCGACACACACAATATCAGCAGGCAGCCACGTCCGGTAATAAGCAAGTCGTCTCTCTGCAAATTGAGGTTAAATTCTAGTTCGTTTGAGGGGTAGTAGAAATGTTCAAAATCTTTTGGTATTACACAATAGTAGAACAACTTGTTTTTGGGGCATTCCTATTGATTTTAATGAATAAGACATTTTTTTTTAATTATTCCACTTCTGATTTATGTGAACACAACAAACATTTTTCAAAATTGCTGGCAGCAATGTAAACTAACAACACACTTTCATTTTATACGCTAACCAAATAACATTAACAAACAGTTCAACTCACATATGATTAAAGAGTTTTTTCCACAAACGAAATGGCAGTGTATGTAATTGGATTTCAAATTGAATTACATTGACAGTGAACAGGTCACAGTGAATCCATTGTTTGCGTCAAAAGAGTGGCGGAATTGCAGGTGTGCCACATATTAATACAGTTAAACATACGAGCGCGCACAGCAGCTTTGCGTGTGCGGTAACCTTTGTAAGCAATTTCTTACACATAATATGACATTTACGAGTGCTTTATCAACAGATTCCTGTGCAACATGCCATCTCGCATCCGGTATGCCGGTATTATTTCAATACTACATACACGCCCGCAAACAACGCACATCATTTCAAACATTCGGAGTGCGGTGAGGCACAAAGCTTACAATGTGCCAAAGTTTATTACATGCTCATTACATACAAAAATATGTAAGTATGTATATATGTATGTATGTATGCTGGATACGTGCGCGGCCTTGTATGCCTGCCTCCTTGCAATTAGTACATGCAATATTTGTCCAATGTGGCAAATCTCAGTCGACATTTTATATATATGGCGGCGCGCCGCTCCTTAAATACCCATATCTTTTACCACGTGCCTCCACTCGGTTTTAAGCTACGTATTACGTACGTACGTACGTACATATGTATGCTTCGAAGTTGGCATCCATTCAAGTGTGCACATAGTATTATATATATTGTATTATGCATGCACTTGTCCAGGTTCGTGTGTACTCGCTGTGAAATTACCAGAAACTAGCAAAATAAACCAGACAATGGCAACAGTTCCAGAGCTCAAACTGTCGGCAAACTCACAAGTATGTACATATGTGTATGTAGAGACTTGCATGCTTACAACACATGGGGACACACACCCACAAAAATACTTGCATCCTTATAAACTTGCTCATTTATTCATGGAATTCGTGTATTGTTCTTCCTTTTGGATAAGTGTAAGTTTTTCTAGCCGCTTATCAGTAGATTCTTGTAAATGTGTGTATGTTTTTCGGTCTCTGTTGCGGCTACCAGCTGCTTTCGTGGTGATATTTATATGCTTACTCACACTTTCTGGTTATTTAAGGTTGAAAGTTTGTGTGCGGCTTTTTCGCTACAATATTGGTGTTGGTGTTGTAGTTTGTTGGCTGGCAGAAATTAAGCCAATTCACTTTGGCTTTAAAGTGTTGGAAATGACTTTTTTGTGTTTCCAGTGTAGTTGTTTCGGTGCTAATTCCTTCGCTAGTATATATATATATATATTCTGCCTTACAGCTGTTGTTTTTGGTTTTGTCATTTCACAGCTCGGCACACGAATTGTTGTTTAATAAGGATCCCTCAGAGAATGCATATAATTTTTAAGCATCTTTCACACACAGGTGTGGGCGCTGAAGGCTTGGCTTTTTATTTGTATGCTGCCTCTGTCAACCGCACTGCCGCTTGTCTGCCCACAGCTTGTCTCGCTGAAGTGTTTTGGGCGCAATAAATGTCTTTTGTTTGCTTTAGTTAATTAAACTTTGCTGCTTTTGGCAGATTGAGGTCACAAAACTACTGATGCTTTTCATACTTTTTATTTACATATTTTATCCGCTTTCTTGTTTACTTTGCAAAGTAGATATTCTTAATAGTTTGGCTGTCGTGTGGGTACACATTTTAGTGGTTTTGTGTTGCAAGTGAATATACATGAATACATATCTAAAAAAAAAAATTAGTTAAAATATTAAAATTCATAAAAAATGAGCGATATTTGTGTCTGTATACCAGTTGGAGCAGTCATCATCATCGGCTAGAAAAATTGTATGTTGTGTTGAATATATATATATATATATATATATATTATGATTTGCAAGCACTTAGTGCATTCATTATTCTCTTACGATTATTAGCACCTCCAAGTGGCTACTCAATAACAACAAAGCTAAGTAATTCTTGCTTTTTAGCGCATTATTTGTTGTACGGGCATTGTTTTGAAGGGAACCCAACGAGGGAGATCGTTCTAAAATTGCTTTTTTTCAGGTAGAAAAATATTAGCAAATTAGTTTTGTTTTTGTTATTTACATGCAATTATCAAAATTTTGCTCTCTCTGGCTAAAAGCTAAAAAGTTATTACGAAAATGGCGAGGTTGCTATGGAAAATGGTTCAGAATTATGAGATCCTAGGCAAAAAGTGGATGCAATGGGTGTTTAACTCTCATATTCGCTGGAATTCGGTTTCACTATTAGCGATTTTTGATAAAATAAAAATAAAAAAAATTTTTGCGGTTGCGATGCGATTATAAATGTTTCAGAAGAAAATTTTTAAATTGTGATTATTATGCCAATTTTCGAATAATTAGCGAAATACGCAAAACTGGTCTGAAAAATGGCATAATAATAATTTCTGCCTTACATATAGGCGTTATAGCTTTTTTGATCAATTTTAGAACAACGAATTAGTTGGTTTTATAAGGATGACTTTTCTTGATTGAGACTGAATATTTCAAATATTTATTATCCAGATATTAAGGCTTTAGACGCTTTACAAATGCACTTTTTCTGAAATCTATTCTAAAACTATCCAAGAATACGGCTTCAAATATTCGACATATTTTCGAAGCTGAAGCAGTTTTAGTGGCCGAGCGTCGAGAAGGTTCGAATGCTCGGAAAGAACTTTGAAGAGCGTTTTCTCGAGTTTTCATTTTTACAAATCTTAGAAAAAGGTACGGTTGATTAAGCTTCATTACTAAATTATCTTCTACTTGAATAAAAATAGTTATACAAAAGTATTGTTTAAACTATTTCTTTTGCAACTTGAAGTGAATTTTTTTTCATATCACTGAAAAATTTGATTTTGATCTTTTTCGGTATTTTTTTAATTCACATAGAAGATACACTCATAAATATTTAAAAAAACTTGTTCGGCTGTATCAGATACACGGCACGAACTCCATCACTGGCACCGTTTCACGAGTTTAGACTGCAGCCGCTTTAGAAAACTCATCACACCATTGGAAAATTCCAATAATTTTTAATACTAAAACTTGTTTTATGAAGGTTGAATTTAGTTACATTATTGTCTGAAGATTTCGTTTACCGCAATAATTTCCTTCCCTTTAAAAAAGTAAATTGCTGAAAAACGCTTTTGCAGGTTCTAAAGGAGACTACCGCTATAATTAAAGTATTATATCTCGCCCTGCCTGTTTTTACCGAAACCTATGCTTAGCTTTGAGTAGTTCATCATTTAAAATATGGCGTTTGAACAGAATTTTCTGTGGAATTTTGATAAAAGAAAGTGTCTAAAATACGACTCTGCCACAGCAACTATGACGACGATTCTTTGCAAAAGAAGGTTTTTGCTAACTTTTTAAGAGTTAAATAAAATGAAAATTACTCAAAATTTATTATTAGAACTCAGTCAATTCTATAAGCGCGCATACATATAGACAGTGGCTCTCAAAATTGATGAAGATTTGACTTGTGAGAAACTTACAATCATTCTCTTCGTACTGCTTAAAATTCAGTACCAAATTTGCTATGCAGGTTTGTTGTCTAACATCTTATATACCGCTATCAGCATGTTGTACAGCTGTGCTATAACTAACGGTATTTTAATTTTAAGAAAAACTTTATGGCTAAGCGTGATCAGTTCTATAACTCAAATTCGAAGAGTAGAGACGTTTTACTGAGATTCAAAGTTTGCAATTTTCTCATTCAAAATATTGAAATACTCATATTTCGGAGAAGAGTAATATTAGGATTAATCTCATCAACACAATAAGGATTTCGATTATGAAGGGAAATTAGGAAATTAGTCTCCAATGGAAAATTTTGGTCAAACTGAAAGCATCTGTGAGAAAAAATCGAAGTTAATTTATTGATTTATATATATATGTATGCATATATAATTAGGGCCTTTAAATCGCTGAAATGATTTTCCAATTTGTGGTTTTGCGCCTTGGTATTTTTTCAACAAATGGAGAGACCTACAGTTTATACTAAGTTTGGAGGAAGTTCAATCATGGTTAGAGGGTGCATGACTGCCAAAGGTGTTCGAAGGCTGGTAAATTTGAAGAATAATGACAGCAGAACCCGATTAAATAATTTACTAATTACAAGACTTCGGAATACTGATGTGGTCTTAAAACAAGACAATGTTCCAAAGCATACGGCAAGGATCACATCCAACTCTCTCAACTTCATAAAGCCCCGAAGATAATAACAAATCGATGTCTGGAGAAAGCGATACCATGGCAGAGTTATGATCTCAAGCAGTCCAATTGTGGCATTCAATTGTACCAGAACAATGTGGAGCCCTTGTAATGGATAAAGGCTGTTATTGATGTCCATGGTGATTACAAAAATAAATGAATATTACTTTTTATGCAAAAATATCGAGTTAAGAAGCTTTAGCGCGATCACTTTTAAGAGTGACTGTATAATGATTGCAATGCGATACCTTATAGATATAGTAACGACGCAACTTAATTGCAGTCAGAAGAGAATTAGAGCCAACTTGAATGACCATATAGAAAATAAAGCTCAAAAGAACACGCACATACATACAAAAACCTACCCAGCCGAAATTGGAAACATTCCAACAATTATAAATGCCCATGACGACATTACGGCCAGCAGTAACCGAAATAATAATAACAACAACAACATAAAATGTAAACTATAGGAAAAAATGCTGCGTTTCTTGTGGTGTCATGCCGCCTGCACACTCCCACCACCACCAACACTCACTTCACTAGCCATTTAAAAACGAAGTAGTAGAAAAGCAATTAACAACTACAACGACGTTGCTATGTTGCAATACAAGTGCAATGCATACAATGGAATGTTATGATATGCTCGTTGTTTTTGTTGGGACTACTGTATTACATTATCCGGTGTAAATTGGTGCATCTAGTAGCTGAGTAATCAAAGAGCGAGCCAGGTAAAGTCGCAAGGCAAGTATATAAATAACAATGACTATCCAATCCTATCCGTAAATAGTAGGAGGGCAAGAAGAAAGAGACTTAGTAAAGCGGGCGCATGTTGATTTATAATTCTGTTAGAAGCCAAATCAAATTTATGACCATAAAATGAAGGGTGCGGATGTGTCCTTGCACAATGTAATGACGTTTTCTCCTGCAATTTGAGTGGGTGCATTTGCAGTTCTGTGCAAAAGATTCGATTTATTCATTCTTTCATGATTTCGTATAAATTCTTTAGGCGTATATAAATCAGCAAATTATTTGATAAACTGGTTACCAGAAGCTGTTGCTTCACAAACATACAAAATCCAATTTCTCTCTTATCGCAAATTGAAGCCACGTGACACATTAGAGAATATGATAAACAATATTTAGCACCCTCTTACATAAGTTTGGCGAATTTGATACACAATATCTACGAATATGCATAAGATGACAATAATTTAATTTTTTTTGCAGTTCTTAAAATATAATTTTCAAAAAAATGTGTGATTTGTTCAATAACTACGCTTCCAAAAACAATTGGTATGCTGTTAGCAAATAAGCATTGAATTTTTTCGGTGATTACGTGTTTTGCGAACTCACTGCAGTGGAGAGAAAAAAAGAAATATCAAACAAAACTAACGAACGAGGTTAAACAAAAAAGAGAACGCAAAATAATTAAGCCATACCACATACCAGTCAGTAGTAGTGAACAAAGCACTATGGTAGAGCATACCAATAACTTTGCGCGTAGTTAACTGATTTGCTTGTTTCGAAGATTTTACTTACATATTGCCAAACGCTCTACACTGAGAGCGCCAACAATTGTAGACTTTCGCTATGATATAGCACACGGTGTGTGGTGCTCCATTTAAAAAGTAAACTACATAATTGTTAGCAACGTATGTTTATCGAAATTCGCACGCAAATATCATAAGCGAATTACAAAGTTTAGAGAGAAACCAGCAAACTGAAGAAATAAGTTCACCCTTTGCTGTTTTTTTTTTTTAAATAAATAAAAACCTTCCCCATGTAACACTTACATATCTAAACATAGTATATACATATATAAGAACTTTTAGCTCACCTCCTGTGTAATGTCTAACTCATGTTTTGCATGATCGTAGAGTGTCTCCAACTCCTCGCACTTTTGTTCCAATGACGATTTCTCTTCCAATAATGATAGACCATATTGTGCTGATTGTGCTCGCTCACTTGCTGCCTGATCTAGTTCACGCGTCAGCCGTTCAACTTCCATACGCAGCTCCTCAATAGTTTTGCCGGCTGTTGCGGCGTTTTCCAATTCAGACATGCTGCAGCCGTTTTGTATGTTTGTGTAAGTTGTTGTTTCTTTTTTTTTTTTTGTTTTTTGTTTCAATGGACGGGCAGTTTATTTTGGGAGGGGAGGATGATTTTGGGATAGAAATGGACTAATGTCGAATGTAACATACAAAAAAGACCAAAATTTTTTGTATTTATGTTGCACGTACATATGACGGAGAGGGAGAATTTTAGAGAATGCTTGAATGTCGTTACGGTGGGAATTTTATGACTCCAATATCTGTTTGATGCCTTTTCTCTGTGCTTCTCTGTAGTGGACGGCGGCCGTTTTTCTCTTAAAACGGCGGCTAGGCTACAATTCTATGTTCAACAGTGGGCGTGACAGGTTGTTGTGGGCGGAATCGTGCTGTGATCGCCTGTATAGCGTTACGAATCGTTGCTCTTGGAGGGACGTGTATGTGAATGTGTTACGTTTTGTGTTTCTAACTCGTTTTTCAGCTGTGTCGTTTGAAGTTTTACAAAATTCTAAGATATAATTTTGCGCTCATAATATACTTCTGTGCTGGACGTATGTATGCTTATTTTTGGAATTCTACGCTCGACTCAACGTTTCAATCCTCTTTCGTTGTTAATAGCGCTTGTACCAAAGCTCTTTCTTTAGAGTTTTGCTTTGTTCTCTATTGTTTCATTTTATGCTATTATTTGCTCGCTTAACAATTTTTAATCGTTGTGCAAATTACTGATGCGGAATGAATATTGAAAATTGCTGTCAGCTCGATCTCACTTTAATTTGCAACTTAATTGATAAATTGTAGTGAATTATTAAATTAAATTGAATCGCCACAAAGCACTTCCACTAAGCTAAATTAATATTAAATGGAAAGAAACAGCTTTGTGTGTAGATGAATGTGTGCACAAGCAATTTATTAGGTCGCTGCAATAACAATATCCAAAATGTGTTGAAATTGTTACTTGAAGACACACTCTTTAAAAATGTTGCAATTAATTTAAACTGGGAAACAGTGACATCACGATGGAGTGCTTTTCCACTTTACACCACCACCTACAACTTCCAACTGGAGTTTTTACACAGTCTTTTCACCACCCCTTTAGAAGGGCAGGAAAATATCTTTTACTCTGTACTATCCTTTGCTTCACTGATAAATTTTATAAACAAATGAATGGGAAAACTATAAACAAACGTTTGTTGATTGTATTTTTGATAAAGAATTTTCCTCCTTGTGGAAAATATCTATCACAATGCCAAAAAGAATATCCACGTCTTTTCTTTTCGTGAGTGACTAACGGAATGTGTGTGTGAAAATTTTGCATTCTCCCTTTTGCGTTTTCTAAGTGAAGTGTCAAACTTTGCAGAGTTGTATTTGAAGAGATAAATTTGTTGTGCAGATAAGAAATTGTAGATAAAAGAATGCGTTTCAAGTACCAAAACTTAATGCTGAACTTCTTTATTACAAACGCACAGTGTTTTTATCTCTCTGGTTTAGCTACAGCTTACTAACTATACAAATGACTATAAACAAACAGCTGATTCTTTTGTAATCAAATTGCTGTCCATTCTCCATCTAATCTGCTGTGCTGGCCTCAGCTCTTATATACCTAATGACATCTCATTCGCCTCTCCTGAATGTAATTTTTCCGAAAATATGCTATTTGAAATGATGAATGCTGAAATTTTATGGTTGTTAACTTCAAATAATATGTAATGACTGAATCACACATAATTTCGTTTTTCCTTCATAGCTTTATTTGTCACTGTATGTTTTTTATCGAGAAGAAGCAAAAAGTTCTCCAACAACGTTTATACACGTGCTCAATATTATACATATATAATTGACGCTCTGTAACCGCTTAAGCGGTTATCGGCCTAGCTCTTCCTCCAATTTGTGGTTTTGCGTCTTGATGTTCTTCCAACAAATGGAGGGTCCTACAATACTAAGCCGTCTCGGAACGGCCGATGGCTTTTACGAAGAGCTTTATTTCATATAAGAAATACACTCGGGAATATTGATATTTCCTGCGAGGTGCAACTACAATCAAGAAAATTTAACTGAATGTTTTATTGAAATTAATTTTCTGTAAGTTTTTAGATGTTTGTACGACTCCATGACTTGAAACCGAGCCTTTCGAATGGCAGTACGCACGGCTAACCACTCGACGGTCGCCAATATAGTGCTCAATATTATACAAAAGAACTAAGCCTTCGGTTTTCTCTCATGTAGTTAAAGTTTCATCTGTCAGCATTGTAAAGCAGGTTTTCTCTGAATCAGCCGTAAAGCGTCAAGCCAACTTTTATCTGTAATAGCAACATTGATTACTAGCAACACTGTTATCAGCTGTGATTTGTTTACTGCACGCATACACACACGAACGCAACTAAACAATTCGGAGAAATGTCAAAAATTACAATTGGAAAAAGAATGAAAACATCGTGAAGTGCAGCAAAAAAGCCAAACATCTGAATTTTGTGTGCGAATTTTTGTTTGTTGTTTTATTGAATTGAAGTATTTATTCGAAAACTGGGATTATAATACAAATGGGAAAAGAAGTTAATGATGTAAAACTCGCGAAACTTTGGGGCAAATAGTGAAAATACCACTAAAAATTGCGCAATAGCGTGTGAGATGTTGAAAAAAAACTGTAAAGAAGACAACAACACTCAACTAAACGAAGCAAGAACGAGCACCATTAAAACCCAACATTAGTGGGTGCATACCCTCCTCATAAGTGTTAAATCAGACACCAATTGTGATTTCTTTTTAAATTTAAACATATACTAGCACATAAATTTCTAGAAAATTTTGACACAACTCTGTTAGAAGGCGTTGTGTTTAGCACAGGTGTGGAGTGTGTGTGGGCGTGGAAGTTCTACAACGGCTTACACCACTCTCTTCATTATACATCAGAAAACGTGCTAACTAAGAAAGTAACTACTCAGTTATGGAAGTAAAAGAAGTTTTAAATCGTGAGGGACGTGATGCGAAAAATTTGCTTGTCTATCAATTTTGTGAAGAGCAACCACCCGCCGATGGTTGTCCAAATGTTACTGGTAGTAAGTATTTTATACAAATATGTTTGTAAGTTCAATTTAAACGCTCATCTCTTCGCTATACTACTTCTAGTTACCTCACCGTCATTAAATATACGTAAACCACCAGTAGCACCTTCCAAATCGCCAAACTCGCTCAAGAATGTGCTATCGCCAGTTCGTTCAGCAAAAATGTCGAATACAGGACCGCGTGTGCGAAGCGCTTCAACGGGACGTGACAAAAAGTCGGAGCTGCAGGCCCGTTATTGGGCTCTGTTATTTGGCAATTTACAACGTGCTGTTAACGAAATCTACCAAACGGTCGAATGTTGTGAGAACATTTCGTGGTGCCAAGAGGCGATTCTAGTGCTAGAAAATTATGTACGCGATTTTAAGGCGTTAAGTGAGTGGTTCAAAGTTTCTTGGGATTATGAGTCACGTCCACTGCAACAGCGTCCGCAATCACTCGCATGGGAAGTGCGTAAGAGCAATCCTGGACCACGTGTACGAACAAAAAGTCTAACCAGTCCAACCATGTCGGGCAAATCAAGTCCATTAGCTTGCGTATGTCCGTCAGGAAAATCATCACCTTGTTGTGGTGCTGCTATGGGTGATGCAACATCGCCACGCAAGAGCTTACGTGCATGTGATCCGCTTCCAAAGGGAGCTATGCGTGTAAATGTACGTGAACTGTTTGCACCAAACAAAGGTAGATCCACAAGTGAAAGATCTTCAGATGCATCTGATCAAAAGAAGTGCATGGAGAATGAACCGGAACCAAATGTAGAAGCAGAGCCAATAGAGCTGCCAAATAGGTGCCATCAGTATGCACAAACAGATCTCGAGGATGATCATTTGACATTGGCAGATATCAGAATAAAAGTCCAAAGAGAAGCTGAAGAACGACAAATGGCTGAACAAGCCGAGCAGGAGCGTTTGCGACAAGAGGCAGAGTATCAAAGGCGTCGCGAAATGGAACAACAACAATTGGAGAAGCAGCGTGAACATGAGCGCTTCGTCGAAGAGCAAAAGCAACGTGACTATCAGTCACAGTACCAACAAAGACAGGCAAATGAGGAGTCAAAACAAAACTGGGAACAAACCCCTTTGTCAAAGAAAGATAATATTAAACTAGCTAATGGTAATGGATCTAACGCACTCAATTCCGAAGCCACATATTTTGCTATGCACCGCGAGCCGACTGCACTTGAGATGACTGTGCAAAAACTGAATCAGATGGAAAACGAAATACTTCATAAAGATGCCAATAAAATGGCCACACCGCCAACCACAGAACTTAAGAAAGTAGAACCGGTAGCTGACAACAAGGCGGTACCAATGCCCGGAGCAGAATCTTCCAAAAAAGCAGCTGCTGTGGCACCTGCACAAAATGGTCCCCTTAAGTATTCCAGCGTGCTGAACCGTCCTGCCACAGTGCGGCCTGTAACTTCAAATGTATCAAAGCCATCAACAATTCGTTCTTCAGTCAATGTCGCCGCCGTGCATAAGCCTGTCATATCACAGAAGCCCAACGCTAACACCAGCTTACGACGTTCCGCCACAACTGCTGCGGTCACAAAAACTGCACAAACACGTTCATCAACTGGCGGTGCTGTTTTTGGATCTGGCTCAGGTGCACGTCAAATGGCGCCACGCCCGTCCAGCAAAACGGAACAATATGGTCCACCAACGCACGTTGCTTCAAGGTTGTCGGCGCGTTCGCGTACTATGATTGAAATGCAGTCTAAGGAGCTAAAGACACCACGCGCCGGCCAAACACAACCGTCACAACGGTATGCGCAAACAGCCGCGTCATCGCGCAAATCATCCCGTGAAGATATTGGCAGCTCAAGCTCAACGCTCAAAGCCAGTAACGAACACATAACCTCCTCTAGAAGTAGTATATCGCAAGGGGGCACAGCTGTGGTGCAAATAGATGAACGCCGCTCCGAACCAAAGCAGTTGCCTTCAGATGCCAATGACGGCTGGCTAACAGTGAAGAATCGTCGACGCTCTAGCATGCATTGGGCCCATCGCTTCAATCAACCAACCGGCTATGCCAGTCTTCCAACCTTAGCTCTATTCAATGAGCAATTGGCGGAGAGTGATGAGCATCAACGTAACAAGAAAGCTGCAGCGAAGAAATCGCCGGCGGTGGAAAACAACACAAACTGCACAAACAAAACGCAAGTCGCCGTGAAGCAACCGAAAGCGTTCAAGGCTTCAAAAGGCGATGAAAAACCGTCGAAAAGTGCGACGCGTCCTGAGATAAAGAATGCCAAAGCAAAGGTAAATTCACTGCCAACACAACGTAAAAACGCCCCAGCCGCTACCGCTGCTGCGCTAGTGCCCACAGCGCCACACAACGCTGTAGGTGCTAATGGCTCTAGCTCAGCTCGCACCACGAATGTGCCCACACGCGAGGCGATTATCAAACGACAAAAGTCTGATTTGACAGGTTTGAAGATGACATCGCTGCACAAGGAGTATATGCGTAGTGAAAAGTATGCCCAACGCAAGCAGAACGGACGAACCGGCTCACTGGAGAGTTCGACAGCCAATTCGACGGAGACCGTAGTGGATGGTGAGTGCAATTTGTCAACAGGTTAAAGTTTTGTTAAAATGATTTCTTTTTGTGCATTTTTTAGCGAGTGATGAAACTGCCGACAACGAAAAAGCTGCCGAAAACATTGAATCCGTCGATCAAAATAAAATCGATATCAAAATCCAAACTAATCGTGATTTTTCCAAAACCATTGGCGATCTATACGAGAGTATAGCGCAAACTGCAAAGGCTGCTAACTTTGGCTGCACTAATATAGAGTCCACTAGCGGCGCTTGCAAACTCTCTAGTTGTGATGAGAGCGAGGAGACTTTCGCCAGCGAAACCGATTGTGATGAAGATCAGCGCATGTTGGTCGAAGAACAGGAATCATTGGAGCGGCAAATTCGTGAATTGGAGAATACCGAAATCGATGTGGACACCGAAACAGACGAGACTGACGGCGAGGTGGCTATGGACCATGAACATGATTGCAGTGAAACTGTAGATCAATTACTCGATGATGCCTCCTCAATTGCTTTTCTACCCACAGGCGAGGATGGTGCCGATTCCGACCTCAGCTTGGAAATGCGCTACCACGCACTGCTCTCGGAGATGTCGCGTGTGGAGCGTGAAGAAGCGTTAGCCACACTCCAAGCGTATGTCGCGCGCCATCCTGGTCGCGCGCAAGAGCTGCATCAAAAACTTTCCTCGCCATCGCGTCGACGCTCGCTACAGGAGACGCTCAAGAAGTACCAAGCGAAACATACGCGCGCGCAACAAAAACGTGAACAGGTACAAAAGGAGAAAACCATTAAAATCCAACAACTGTTGGCGCGCGTGGAAGATGTGAAAGCGGCCAAACGCCAACTGATCGAGGATAAGCGCCTACGGATGGAGGATAAAATGCAACGCGCAGCGGAGAATCGCGAACAGTATTTACGACAAATAGTAGAGAAAGCGCATGACGAAGAGAAAAAGTTGAAAGAGATAAATTTCATAAAAAATATTGAAGCGCAAAACAAGCGCTTAGATCTACTCGAATCGTGTAAGGATGCTGAAGGTCGCTTGCAAGACTTGGAGCAGGAACGTCAGAAACGTCTGGAAGAGAAGGCGGCGCGTGAAGCAGCTGTAGAGCGGCGTCGGCAAGAATTGGAGAAAGAGCGTCAGCGTAAATTAGAGAAAATGAATGAGACGCGTTTGGAGAAAGAGCAACGCATTGGCAAAATGCAAGAGCAGAAAGAACGCCAGCGTCAAGCATTAGCGCGTGAGAAAGCACGCGATCGTGAAGAACGCTTGTTGGCGCGTCAAACTCAACAACAACAAACTACGGAAGAATTGCAGCGTAAGATATTGCAAAAGCAACAGGACTCCGCGCGGCGACACGAAGAGAATATCGAGCATATACGTCAACGTGCGCTAGAGTTAACACTGCCCACCCGCAATGTGGATGAGAATGGCGTGCAGCGCAATGAGAACGGTGAAGTGATTACTGAAGATGGTGATCTGTCGTCCACCGTGTCGGATGTGGGCAGCCGCGAACATACACGCGGCTATAAAAAGAAACTTAAAAAATTGAAACAACGCATGGCCCAAAGGTAAAACCACACATGCTACATAAATGCATTAAAACAATTATATTGAAAATTTGTTTTGATTTTTTCACAGCGCCGAGGAGTACATGAAAGAACAGCAACCGGTGCCATTGCATATGAAACGTGAGAGTCAGGTGCCGAAATATTTGAATCTTGTGAGCAAAGGTGGCGGCTCTCAAGGTCTGGAGCGCGCTGTCAACCAGCTGCTGCGTCTCATGAGCAAAGCGCAAGTATTCGACTTTCAATGTTTCCTGCTCATGGACGGTCTCGGTGTTATCACCACCAATGTGATTAGCAAAAGTATGGAGGAGAACAATGACATTCCAAAAAGGTACGATTTTGTAAGAGAGAAAGGGAGACTTCTTATTTATTGAATATTTTTTGCATTTTTACAGAGCTGTTGTGCTCGCTGTGCAACTGTATCGGAACGCGTGTACGCTTTGCCCACAAATTGCCCGACATGCCATACTGGGTAACACTTTAAGCGTATTATTCGATGTATTATTCCAGAGCCTGCAGGTGAGTAACTTTTTTGTATATACGAGCTTATGTCCATTATCATGCGCTAGTTGTTAAGATCATTTTGCATTAAAGTGGATATTAAGAAATCTAAAAATTGCAAAGAGAAGACGCGTTGAAATAATTTACAATATGAAAAAAGACGCATGTATTGTCACAGTGGGGTAATTTTGGTGAAAAATGTGCTGTTATTATGAGTTTCTCTCGATCGAATGATTTAAAAATAAATGCGATTTTTTCGACCAGATCGTTCCCATTCATGCTAGCCGAAAATGATTCGGGCCCAAAGCTACTACTGCACCAAAATTCATGTAAATCAAACGATTTAAAAATAAATTCGATATTTTAGAATATGTCAGTCTACGGTCTACTGCTTGGAAGCTTGTCGAGTGCATACGTCATACGCACAGCATACTCTACAAGCTTTAGGTCTCTACGACCTGCGGTTTCATCCGTCAGTCATTCAGTACAAAACCTTTTACGAGTATATAAAGGGTTTTCTAATAGCCGTAATTTTTTTTTCATTTGACAAGTAAAAATGGAACGGTACATGCTTCCACAACGAATAGAAATGACTAAAATTCCTTAAAAAATTGTGAAAAATCGTGAAGCACCTTGTCCGACCGCAATTCAAACTTGGTAGGTTGGGACAAGTTTATGATGCACCTCGCTTAAGAACCAATGAGAATATTGCTACGGTAGTCCGAAGTGTTGAAGAAAACCCAAGTTTGTCTATTCCTTGTCGTCTTTTGCAATTGGGCATTCCACATACGTCATTACACTGTATTTTGCAGACCTTGAGTCTTAAGGCATATAAAGTTCACTTAAAATAAAAGCTCAGGCCGGTCGTTCATCAACAACTTCATGTATTTGCTGATTGGGTCCTTGAAATGCATGAAAATGACCCGAAATTTCATCGAAAAATCATTTTGTCTGATAAGATTTATTTCCAACTCGATGGCGGCTCAGCGAACCCAAGATACATTGTTGAAAAGCCTTTCTGTTATCAACTTGGACCTTACTTACTTTTTCGAAAATGAGGCGGAAGCTATCGAGAGATAGATGGATATCCTGAATTGGATGGTATTGATCTGGACAACTTTTACAACAAGACGGCGCCACGTACCACAAAATCAACCAAACCAGGGATGTTTTAAGGGAAAAGTTTCAGGATCGTGGTAGCTCTCGAAGAGGTGATCGCAATCGTCCACCGAGATCTTGTGATTTAACATCTTCCGACTTTTTCCTTTGGGGCCAGGTAAAAGGTATACGCCAACTTTGCGATTTGGTGATGGAAAATTTCGTAAGAAGAAAACGATTATTGATGGCATACATTGAAAGAAGCATCCGATCATTTATCTCAACAAATGCAATTTTTCTATGAATATCAAATTAACATCTCTTATTGAAAATCCCTCTCTAGAGATCACACATCTATACAAATAAAATAAACTTAAAAAAGGAAAGAAGTAAAAATATGCTTTCTGAAAATCAGTACTATTAGATTAATACTATAGATCAAGGCTTGGCAGAATGAGCAGCGCTTCAGTTTTTTTGGAAAATCGTGCACCATTCACACAGCGCAAACTTCTATGCTCTCTATTCAGCTTCATGTCACAGAACTGTTGGGCAGAGTAAGCTACCCACATGCCTCCAGCTTTTTTCAAAGAGATTCTATCAATACCTTTAACTCTCTTTTGGAAGATTCTGTATACTGTAGGTTCAACTGCTATCTATCCAAACTCGAGCCCGACATGTTAAGATATATTCTGCATACACGGCACTAAGCCCGTCTTTGTATGGCGAATAAAACACACTCGTTTCCTGGATAATCTTTATTTCCACTGTGTTCTCGGTACCTCATACAACGCTCTAAGTGCGCTTGATTAGTATTCCATGATCGAACAATCTCAACAATTAGCTAACAATTTAACAATGCTGCTCGCTTCCTAAGAGTCTAGTTAGAAACATCAACGCCATCAACTAACTTTCCTTGCTCCTAAGAGGGGGGTTTGGCAATCCATAACATAGAACCTACTTATGACATGTTTTGCGAAATAGAAATAACTCTTAGCTATACCCGACAATCGCTCAGAACCTATGATGATGATTTCTCTAAACTCTTCTTCTACACTACGCACAAGATTATGGGATCTTGACTTACGGCTATGATATAAAATACATCGTACATAAGCTCCAAAATGTCACTAAATCCCTATCCCTTCATATACCTTTTTCCAAAAACAATCCTATTTCACAGTTTGAACCTCAAATAAATAATTATTGTAGAACAAAAAGTAAATAAAGGGTGATTTTTTAAGAGCTATAGGAAGGTTTTTCAAAAAAAAAAAAATAAATTCAGAAAGATGCATTAAATCTTTGTTTGAATCGTTAGTACGGTCTATATAATCTAATGTTTGAAGATGATTTCTTGACCATGACTGCACCTCAAATGGTCCATCTGCTTAGTCCAATTTTGGCATACTCTTTCCAACATTCCGGCCGGTATCTCACGAATAAATTCTTCAATGTCACAAAAAATAGTCTAAAAGCGTTAAATCACGGTAGCGCTCACCATTCACAGTTACGTTACGATTCGCATCATCCTTGAAGAAGTTCAGTCCAATGATGCCACCTGCCCATAAACCGCACCGAACTGTGACTTTTTCTGGATGCATTGGTAGCTATTGCAATGCTTCTGGCTGATCTTCACTCCAAAATCGACAATTTTGCTTATTAACGCACCCATTAAGCCAAAAATGAGCTTCTAAGCGACTTCAGTAATTTCCAAGCGTTGTTCATTTGTAAGACGATTCGTGGTTAAATTATAGACCAAATTGAAGAGGTTTGACAATAGTACAAAGCACAAAACGTGCACCAGCTGTTTAAATCACCATTGCCAAAAAGATAATAGCTAAAAAATCACCCTATATATATAAACGGCAAACGTCTGTGGTACACACTTTAGGATTGGAGCCGTGGCTAGTGGGAGCCAAGACACGAACACTCTGACTGTTTTCTTGATGAGAGGAGATATTTCGGCTTTGTCCTCATTCACCACCAGGCTCATTTAGCTCGCTTTTTCTATCCAGTATGGAGAAAACAAAACTCACATCGTGACTGTTCGGCGAGGTCCTTTCCCATCCTGACGGGGCCTTTGGTGCTGCTCTACGTCACTTTGCATAGCCGCAAAACACAAACGAAGTGATGGTAGGGCCATTTTTATGGAGTGGATAGAACACACTTGAGCTTCGATTAAGCTCCTAGCTTTGGCCTGACCATCTACAAACAAGCTGACGCATGCCCCTTGTCAGCTCTTTGCCGCCAGGATTGAACTACCAGAAAGCCATCAACTGCAGTCGCTTTGTTTTTCTTGCAGTGGGCAATTGCTGTTCGAACCACGTCGTAGTTGGATAATGAAGCAGATTATCACCTCGGTTTCTAAATGGGTATGCTCCTGTTTTGAAATCTTCTCCTCATTTTTATTGCAGCTTTTCAATGTCGAGCCTTCCTTGTATTTGTTGAGGGCGTTCTTCGATACAAAGAGACGCGTGTGTATCTTCGCTTCGACAAGATAGTGTTCCGAGTTGATGTTAGGACCTCGGAACGTACGCACATCTACAGCACTGTATACATGTTTTCTGTCTATCACAACAAGATCGATCTCGTTGAGAGTTTTTCGTTTTGGAGCCAGCCAAGCGCAGCTTGGTGAACTTTCATGTGCTGGAATCTAGTTTTACAGACAATTATATATTTCGGACGCTGGCAAAATCAATCCGCTGCAACCCATTTGAGGAAGTCTCGTCGTGGTGACTGAATTTTCCGACAATTGTGCCGAAGTAAGCGCCGAAGATATCTTCTTTGCCCACCAGGTCATTGAAGTAGCCATGCACAATTTAGAAACCGTTGTTGGTTGAACCAGGGCTTGAACCCTGGTATTCAGAATGGCAGTACGCTGTACTAACCACTCAGCTGTAATATACCTACTTTTTATATTTATAAAGCGGACAACCCTAATGCTCAGTGGAGCATAATATCGCTAATCGTTTACAACATGTGTATGTACATATACATATACATATGTGAATGCGCTTTCATTATACGCTATTTATTTCTTTGTACTTTTGCTTTGATTTATATGCCACGCTGTCGGACACTTGCAATACTTTGCGCCAAAGCTGCCAACTATCAACTGCCAAATGCTGCCATTTCTTGGTGGACTCATACCATTTTTAATTGTTTCAATTTCCTTCCCTTTCCCTTCTGCCATACATACATACATATGGACATATTGTATATATACTACTCTTGTGTACATACATACATATCTGCTGCCGCACTAGTACTTTAATGTCAATATGATATCGCTGAAGACGAAATCCGCATTGTTGCTTTTTATTCGAACTTCTTCTTTTTATCTTATGCTCATTATGGGCCCATGCATCGATTTGTTCATTTCATTTTATTTGATATGTGTTTTTTTTCGCTTTTCTTCTCAGCTTCCCGAAGAAAAATCACCGCAACATCCTGTCGAGCTATCCACTGAGTTAATGCTCGCCTGCACGGTAGCCTTGTCGCCGTCCTACACGAAGAAGCACACCCACCCCAAAGTGCTGGAACGCCTACCGGATCTGATAAGGTAAGTCAATAAAACGTGGCCGCGCGCTGTATGTGTGCAGCAGTGTGTGCTTTTGTGAAATTATGAGTGAATGCGTACATATTTACATACACAAATTGTTGATGGTGAGCTCAAAAAGGAGTTCGAGTGAGTCGTCGCTTGCACGCTTACAGGGTGCTCGTCTGCACATCCGTCGCGTCCGACGCGTAGGAGAAATAAATTCGGATTTTCGAACATGTCGCTTAACGCTGCAAACGCCAAGTGTGCGAAAGAGACAAATATACTGAGTTGGTGAATGGCGCACAATGCTCATGCGTAAAAAATGAAATTAAAATTATGCGGAGCGAGTTCGAAAAAAGGCGTGCCTTAATATTAAACACTCTCTTTTGGTAGCAGCATATTTGTTGTTGTCACTGCCACCGCCACCTGGCGACCGCATGCCACCGCACATGCAACAACGCGCGAAAGGGATAAGCAAGCGTTTTGCTGTTTTGCGGCGAGCGCTTGCTGCTGTTGTGGGTTGCTGCCGCCAACAGCTGTGGTGCGCGCGTGTAAATAAGCACACAGCAGGTACACAGGCAGCTAGGTACTTTTCATTGCGGCTCACAGTAGCCTTCAACGCAGCGGGTTTTTGCGCGCTGTGTGCCAAGCGCGGCGGTGTGGACAACGCTGCGCTGCCGGTGTACGCGGCCACCACAATCCTTATAGCCGATGCGCGCATAACGGCATTACCACCGCATTAATGCCGTGCGGTGCTTGTTTCAGGAACCCTGTTGTTGTTGGTATTGCCGCTGCTGCTAAATGACTGCCACGCGCGATTTTCCAGCTAAGCTGCAAGTTCTCTTGCAATTTTTTCGCGGAGCTTGTCTTTTTTTTTGCTACTTTTTCCTCATTTTCAATGTGTTTATTTTTTGTTTTTGTTGATTCGCCGCTGTTGTTTGCATGTTTTCATGCAAATTTCAGCACTTTTGCATTGTACCGACTGACTTAAATCCGCTCATGCCGCCAACGCGGCAAAGCGTATCTACCTGACGGTGGTGTCCAACTGGCGTTTGTATGCATTTACTACATATGTACATATGTACAAGTATGTGTGTATACATGTTGTTATTCTGTGGGCGCATGGGGGATTGTCTCCAATCGTTTTGGTATTTGTGTGCTTTTATTGTCTGCCTGGCAGTTGTTGCCATTTTACTTGTTTGCGTTGCGCCATTCTACTTTTTATTGTTGATGTTGATGTTGTTGTTGTTGGTGTTTTGGTGTTGCTACGCCCTCACATGTTTGTTTGTGGTAAATTTTGGGATATTTACTGCTGATTTCACATACATACGAGTACATACATACATATGTACATACCAACTTCCGTTCGGAGAAACTTAAAGCTTTTCTCGCTTTAATGACGCAAAAATTTTTGAGTAAGCCATTTTTAAGCGAGAAACGACTGTTAAGTTTAAATTAATGGCGCGTAATTATTTTTCGCCTTGAACTTAATTCGCTGGAAAAATATTTACGGTTAAAATTTAAAGGGCTTTAAACGCTTTGTAAACACAATGTGTGATATCAGACTTGGTAGGTAAAATATTTTGAGTTTAAATTATGTAAGTTGCGGTGCCTGTAAAATAGTTTTAGACAGTTCAGTCGCAATCATGATTATAGAATACAAGAGTTCGGTAAAAATGATATTAAAAATTTATTTGCTCTAATTTTCTATGATTTGAGCGGACAGTGGAGAGAGTCTCCTTAGTCTGCTCACATAAGAGGAAGGAAAACTAGAGGAAGAGAGGCGACCGTCATAATATGGAAACTACATATATACATATGTAGCTCATTTAGAACCTTCAAAGGGAAGATAATAAGATGGAATTTATTATAACTTTCTTCTTTGTTGTTTTGCTTTTGAAAATCTTATTTTTCTTTTTGCAAATTTATTTATTTATTAAGCTACACGTATACACGTACAGCGGTCGCGGCAGCCGAGTGGTTAGCATTATGTACGCCATTCGGAAGGGTCGGGTCGAACATCCAAAAGTCATTGAGTGTATTTCTGACATAGAATAAAGGCTCTCCATAAGAAACCATCGGAGGCGGCGAGTATAAACTGTAGGTCTCTCCTAATTGTTTAAAAGACGCAAAACCACAAATTAGAGAGGCAGCACGGCCGAAAATCGTTTCAGCGGTTACAAATCGCAAGTTTTATATAATAATAATGTGGTAAATTTTTTTATATTGTATTGTATTTTATTTGTAATTTAATTCAATTTAATTTTATTTATATACTGCCATTAATTATAATATTATAATTGATTTTTGTATTGTATTTTGTTTTACTTTATTTCTACTCAACTAGCTTTATATTTCGGTGTAATATTGTTTTTATTATTTTTGGGGTTTTATGGCACTGTTTCAGACCATATAATTTTTGGATATAGTGAAAAAATTACAACAATAGCTTTGGACTGTAGAAGTTATAGCTGCTATTTCGGAAACCATAACGTTTCCTCATCAGACTATTTTTTCCAGACCCCTTTGTTCGAGTTGAATTTGAACTTTGGATGTCCGCAGCACGAGCCAATGGTTATCCCATTAAGCTACAAGTGTGTCGCTTTTACTTAGTGTTATATTTCACTTTTCCTTTTAGCTACATATCCACGATTAAGTGCTCAGATATCTGTAGCTGTAAAACTTGGCGTGATATAGTTGTTTTTGCGAAGAATATACCAACAAATATTTTAAGACAACGCCCTCTTTATTATGGGAAAGTTTCACTTGCACTGAAAAGGCTCTTCCGTGATTTCTGGATGCTTTTTTGGGTTATTGTTTTGTTGAATTGTTTTTGGGTTTTTTATGGAACTGCTTCAGACCATATATTTTTTGGAAATAGTGAAAAAATTACAACAACAGCTTTGGGCGGTTTGTTATGTTATTATTATTATTACTATTATTATTATTATTATTATTATTATGATTATTATTATTATTATTATTATTTGTATAATATTTCGATTCGATTTTTTATATAGTTATTTCTTATTATTATATTATTACTGTTATTTTTATTATATTATTTTATTTTACTTTATTTTATTGTATTTTGTTGCTATACACATTTTTATTAATACATATTTATTTCCTTATAGTTATTTCTGCATTATATTTATTTTTTTTATTTTAAATTGAATATTTTTTCTAATATTTTCCATTTCAATTCCATTAATTTTATTTTTTTTTTTTTTATTTTTTTTTTTTATTAATTAAATTTTAATTTATGGTAATAATCTTTTTTCACTTAATTTTTTAACTATTTCATGTAAATAAAATTTTTGTTTGTGTGTTTCTTTCATTTCCATTGCATTAATTTGGTTTATTTGTCCTACGCAATTTTTATCTCAATTCATTTCATTTTGTTGTTTTATTTTAATATTACCCTCTTTTTTTTATTGGAAAACATTTTATTTTTAAATTTTTAATTTAATTTATTATTCATTAATTATTTTGTCTATTTATTTCGTTTTATTTAATTTAATTCATTTCTTTAAATTTCTTTTTCATTTTTTTTTTTTTATTTGTGTACATCATTTAATTTAATATCATTTTATTTTTTAATTTTATGTCATTATTTTCTAACTTTTCTTTTATTTTAAATTAATTTTTTTTTACATTTTTATTACATCTTAACTTTTTTGATTTTATCTTATTTTCTTTTATTTTATTTAACTTAATCTTATCTTGTATCATTTAATTATGATTATTTTTTTCATTTCACTTTGTTTTAGTTTGTACGGGTTTAATTTATTTTTATTTAATTTTATTAATTTTTTTTCTTTTTTAATTAACGAGTTTTTAATTTAGTTTACACTTTATATATATCTTTTAAATTTTAAAAATGTTTATTATTAATAATATTTAATTTAAGGTAATATTTTTCCCTATTGTCTTTCATTAAATTTTTCTTTTCATTTGCTTATCTTATTTAATTTTTTCTTCGGTTGTATTTAATTTTATTTAATTTAACTTTTTTTATATTATTTTATAAAGTTTAATTCCATTAGTGTATATATTTATATTTTTATTTCATTAAATTCATTATGCCAGTTTCATATTCCATTTGTTTGTTTAAGAAATATTTATTTTATTAGTTTGACTTTTCTTTGCTTTTATAAAAAAATTTCCAATTTTCCGTTCCGCTACAATTATTTTGTTGCTTATCCTTTTTTATTTGTTCGCTTCTTCTCTTTAACAAATCTCTTCTTCGTTTACGCTTGAGCTGCTACTGTTGTAGCGAATTTTTATTATTATTATTATTGTTGTTGTAGCCATTTTGCATACACCTTTACATTTATTTGTTTATTTATTCAAACTTGCAGTAGAAATTTTAAATCGTTGCCTCAAACTTTGAGCAGCGCAGCAGCAGTTGTGTGCAAATACAAACGACGAGTGTATAAGAGTGGCGCCTCTTTATGACCGCTTCCTTCACTACATGCCTCCGGCATTTCGCCCAACTCGTCATGCCCGTTTCGCTTCATGTGCTTGCATATGGTTGCTCTTCCTGCTGCTGCCGCAACTGCTGCTGTTGCTGCTGTTGCTGCTGTCATTCCGTTTCGTTAAATTCGAAATTTATATTTCGCTTTGTCGACAACTTTTTGCCGTTTTGCTATTTTAACAATATTCACTTTACTCTCCGCTGTTGCTGTTGTCGTTGTTGTGTTTGTTGTTTGGATGTTTTTATACCTCTCACCGAAACGTGCATCCTTCCAACGGTATTGTTGTGTGAGTGTTTGCTAGCATTGGCTTGTTGCGCTCCACTTCACTTTTTGGATGCTCAGCACTTGTTTTTTCGCTCATTTCTACCATTTTGGCTTCTAGCGCTTTCTACCGTTATCTGTGCGCGCTGCTTCTGGTTGTCCTTGCAATGTCCTCACTGCTCGCTTGCTTTCTTTTGATTGTTGTCAATTGAATTGTAGTTGCTTTACCATTTTATTTTCCATTTTATTGCAAACTTTTTCATTTGAATGTGTTGAAAA